CATTAAATTCTTCAATAGATGAAAAAAATTTTATTTCAGTAATTGGTTTAACAACGTTTATTTTTTCCTCCTCTGTTTCATTTATTTTCAAAATCGGTTTCATTTATCATTAAATAAAAATTAGAATATAAGTGATGAAATATATTTTTTAATTAATATTAAATCAGAAATGGCTGCAGGATTCTTTAAAAAATTATGGGATGGAATTAAGAAAGCTGCAGGTTGGGTTCATAAAAATATTATTAAACCCGTTGCAAACTTTTTGGCACCAGTAGCGAAAACGGCAGGAACTATCATAGGTGGAGTATTAGGTACTAAAGCAGGTAATCCGGCGATGGGAGCACAAGCAGGTAACGCAATTGGTGGAATAGCTGAAGGAATATTTAATAAAATAGGAGGTAGATAGTGGAAAAATAAATTATTTTTATCTTAGTATCGGTTGAAGTCTTTGATAAACTTTTTCTCCTTTATTTAATATTTCTCTTATTGGGGCGGCTTTTGGTGTTATTGATTCAGCAACGTCACTAATTGCTTCTTTATTCTTAAATATCCAATTTGCTCCTTTCTTCATTGTTTCCCAAACTTTATGCGCTCCTCTTTTTACTTTATCCCACAGTTTCTTAAATATACCTGCAGCCATAGTTGATTATTTCATTAAAATTAAAAATTCATTTTCATCTTTTAATTTTGATTTTTTATTTATTAATAAATGACGACTAACTATTTGGTGCCAAACTTTATGCGCTCCTCTTTTTACTTTATCCCACAGTTTCCGAAAGTTTTGATAAAATGTCTTTTCTAACTGTTTCTTTAAGTTCATCATTGTACGATTTATTGATATCAACATCTATAATCGTTAAATTTGAAATTTTATTTACTAATAAAGCCATACCAGTTTTCCTTCCTCTTCCTCCATCATGTTTGAGGTAGTTATGTAAATCAATCTTGTTTTCACCAATTCTTTCGTTGAGGGTTTTAGTTTCTGCCACAACTAATTCCTCAGCTAATGAATCAATAACTTGTTCATCAGAAATGATAAAGTTACTGTTGTTGTTTGTTGCCGTCATTTATATAGGAATAAAAAAATAAAAATAATTTTAAAACTAACTTTATTTTTGGACTGCATCATATTTCCTGTGTTGTCAAAATGTCATGTTGTCTCATTTTTTCAGAAAAGTTAAATGACCTGGTGACATGGTGACATGGTGACACCTTCAGTTCTTCAAAAATAAATCATAACTGCCATCCTCCTGTGTTGTCAAAATGTCATGTTGTCACACTTTTTCAGAAAAGTTAAATGACCTGGTGACATGGTGACATGGTGACACCTTCAGTTCTTCAAAAATAAATCATAACTGCCATCCTCCTGTGTTGTCAAAATGTCATGTTGTCACACTTTTTCAGAAAAGTTAAATGACCTGGTGACATGGTGACATGGTGACACCTTCAGTTCTTCAAAAATAAATCATAACTGCCATCCTCCTGTGTTGTCAAAATGTCATGTTGTCACACTTTTTCAGAAAAGTTAAATGACCTGGTGACATGGTGACATGGTGACACCTTCAGTTCTTCAAAAATAAATCATAACTGCCATCCTCCTGTGTTGTCAAAATGTCATGTTGTCACACTTTTTCAGAAAAGTTAAATGACCTGGTGACATGGTGACATGGTGACACCTTCAGTTCTTCAAAAATAAATCATAACTGCCATCCTCCTGTGTTGTCAAAATGTCATGTTGTCACACTTTTTCAGAAAAGTTAAATGACCTGGTGACATGGTGACATGGTGACACCTTCAGTTCTTCAAAAATAAATCATAACTGCCATCCTCCTGTGTTGTCAAAATGTCATGTTGTCTCATTTTTTCAGAAAAGTTAAATGACCTGGTGACATGGTGACATGGTGACACCTTCAGTTCTTCAAAAATAATTATTGAATAACCTGAAAACCATTAACGATAAAATAACTGATAACAAAGTTTTATTTTTATATAAATGGATACCCCACAAGCTCAAAATTTACCACGAATCATAACAAGGGAGGAAACGATAAAAATGATGCGAGAACTTGCTAAAAATAACAAACCACTAAAACTGAGAAAATGTGGTTATGCAGTAATGATGGAAAGAGAGATGTTGTCAAAGAAAAATAAAAATTAAATTTGGATAGAGTTTAAAAATTCATCTTTATTAAATTCATCTCTTCCAATCAATTTATTTATTCTATTAAATTCTTTTATTTTTGCTTCACTCAGTTTAATGATTGAACGATAAGTTTCTAATTTTTCGATTATTTCTTTCCTCTCTTCATCGTTTTCAGTTCCATCACATTGCTGCTTCTTTTTATATTCATCGTCTGGACTGTTGGTTGCTTCGTTGTCACTCATTTCTTACGAAATAAAAAAAATTAAATATTATTTAAATATAATGGAGTAATAAAATAAATCGGAATTTCTATTAATTTATTGTCAACTTCAACTAATGCATTGCCGTTAATATATCTAACAAATTCAGCTATTGTGTCAAATCTTCGTCTTCTTTTTGTCATTGATTTATCAGTTTTTCCATAATCGAGATGAATCAAAACTTTATCCCCTTGTTTAAAATTCATGAGCCCCGAATTAATTTGTTCACGTTTAACATCATTCAACCTTTCCATTTGCTTTCTAATATATTCCCATTCTTTTGAAATATCATTTTTCATTTCCACTGGTTTCATGTTTATAGTTCTATGCCATGTATTATTGTAATAATATACTAACTGTTGTATGATGGAGTCATGATTTCCATCCCAGTATATCTGACCGTTAACCCCTAACGCATCTCTAAGAGTTCTCATTACCGCATCAACTATTTTATTATGAAACGTATATGGAGAGGATGAAAAGAAAAAATTAATTTGTGGGAAATAATGAGTCATAGCTGCCTGAAATCCTTTATCACCATCACCCCTTATATTATCTACTCTTTCATGATCTAGTAAGTATTGTATAGCTCTTCTTGTTTCCTGTTCTGTTTTCCCTTTCACCGGAATGCAATATAAATATCTAGTGTTAATGTTAATGGCAAATAAATAAGTAACGTTTCCTTTTGAATATTCCAGATGATCGATTTCGTATGAATATGGATATAGTGCAAATGAAGGGCGACTAAATTTTTCCTTTAACGGTTGAATTTTCGGGTCAGTTGGTTTATTTAATATCTTGAAACCCTTTTTAAAATCTTTTTGCTTCTTTAATGTTTGAAATGGATATAATAAAGTGAATGATGAAGGATTAACTGAAGGAGGAGGCGGTTTTGGTATTGCAGGTGGTTTAATTTTATCTGCTTTGATTTTGGATGATGAAGTTTTGGAATTCATTCCCCCCTTCATTAATTCTGGATGTATTCTATTCATTTGTCTTAAATATGTTGTATATAAAGGTTTGATATACTTTCCCGCTTCGAGTTTATGTTGAAGGATGAATTCCAAAAGTTGATCTTCATTTAAAAGTCGGGCTGAATATGGTTTAACTAATGAATCATAAATTAAAGCTTGTGCATCATTTAGCTGTTGTTCCTTTTGATTTTGCGGCTCAGGATTATATAAATTATATAATTCATCAATATCTTTTTCTGTTAATATTTTATTTTTGAAATCTTTCAATTGTTTAAGTTGTGATTTAGTTTTTCCCTTTTTATATTCATTATTTTCAATTTTGTCTTTAATTTTAGAAATTATTCTATTATGATATTTCAAAATTTCATTATTATAATATGGAAAATAATAATCCATATCATCACCCGTTATAGTGTTATCATAGTCTTGGAGATATGCTTTTAAATCATAATAACTAAGAAAATTTTGATTAAATATTAAATCATCAATCAATCTTTTTAAATATACACTATCCATTTATATAAAAATAAAATAAGTGTTTTAAGGGTGCCCGCCTCTTTGATCAAGAATCAAAACCATCATTAACGGTTCCTTTTGTCTCTTCTGTGGTATTTCATTAAAAAATAAAGTTTTAAATTGTATTAAATAAATGGCATACAACATCCATTTTCACAACATACAGCCTTAGTGTGTGCTCCTGTTAATGCAGTCTTACCAATTGTTAAGCGAGTCATTGACCCGTTTTTAAGTTGTAAATTAATATTTTGACCATCAAATATCACTTTATCATTTATTATATCCAAATATTTTTTAGGTGTTAATTGCTTATTTTGTCGTAAACTAACACCTTTCATTTTTTGTGCAATCTTTTTAAAATCACTTCCATCAATTGAACCGTTGAATGATGTATAACACTTAGGACATAAAGCAACCATGTTATCACCTTGTTTCTCAATTGCTAAACCCAATAATTTTTTCTCATGTGCTTTTTCTTCAGCTTTATTCTTTAATTTAGGTTTAAATTTCTCATCAAAACAAAAGAAATCAAATGGTGCGAATTTGAAAATGTTTTTATCATAAAATTGTTTATCGGTAACAATTGCTTGAAATGCTTGAGTGTTAGGAAAATTTGGGTCGCCAGCGATTGCCCAATAAGATGAATCAGTATCACCTTCAATGAAATGAAAACGATTAACATCCATGCATTTATACATAAAATCATAAATGAAAACTAAATACCAGTATTTAGCATTATCTAAAGTGAAGAATGCCTCTTGTAAACATGTATCACATCTATAAAATCTATCTTTAAGCATCACTTGATATGTATCTTCACCTATTTCTCTTATGTTTTTAAACTTATTTGACATACATGCAACGCGTGCCTTCTGTGCATTCATTATTTTAGTCTTTGCGTAATTTTGTGTATTCATTGCATCGTAACCATATGATCCATTAAGCGAAATCTTGCAAAATAAACTTTTTCCTTTATTTCCTTCTAATTCAGCCTTTTGTCTTTCGTTCATAAATTTGTTCGCAAATTCATTAAAGCAAGTGTTTTTAGTAAATGTTAAAATTGATTGAATATCATCGATGATAAAATGAAATCTGTCTATTAGATACCATAGATAATAAGAAGAAAATGGTTGATATTGGTTGTGTGTTGATGCTAACTGAGTTAATTTTCTCTGTTTCTGGTCAACTGGTAGATTGTTTGATTTCATGTAATTATACATGAAACTGCCAATTGTTTTTTCATCTGTGATAATATCAAAGTTTCTTATTATCGGTAAAAAGTTTATGTAATCATTAATGTATTTTTCATCAATGTGACCCTTTACTTCAGCCACGAATAAAGTATTTTTCTTCTTAATTATTCCCAGTGCTTTTGCTTTCTTTGTTGCTGTATCACAAATGATAACACCATTCAATCTTCCCGGCATATACATTTTATGGTCAGTATATTGAATGAAATCATGAGGATTAGATGAAAATGATGAAGGATATAATGAATTAAAGTCAACTCCAACGAAATGAGTCATAATGTTGGAAGTGTCCTCATTTGATACAGTTTTAGTTTCTGGATTATATGAAAGTTTATTAATGTGTGTGATTCCTTTAAGATTAACACGATGTTGAACATTTGATAAACCACCAGTAATTACATTACGGAGAATGTGATAAGCTTCAACTGAATCTAAAGTCATTGGTAAATTATTTTTTAATGCGTAATTTCTTAAATTGATTCTTAAACGTTGAACATCTTCATCTTTATTTGATTTTACGACATTGCAATAACAACACATTAACTGACAATTTTCTTTGGTATGTGGTTTTTCATTATCGATTCTATCCAATGTTGGTTTATTTGCATATGTAAACGCTTTACCACACATTTTGCATTTAGATGAAAGGATTAAATCGTGATAGTATTGAAAATCATCCATTGAAACATTATTTTTAGTATCCCTTTCTGCTTTTTCATCTTGTTTCTTATATGATTCAATTTTATATTTCCAATACTTTTTCGTTAATTCAAAACTTGATTCTATCTCTTCCTCAGGATATTTTTCATTAGGATTAAAGTCTTTATATGCTAAAGCGTAACGAATCATTGAAGCATTCGATGATAAAGAAAGATTATGAAGCATATCAATTTTATAAACAAATGTTTCTTCAATAATTTTATCAATTGGGTCAATCATAATTTCAACATCTTTATTGCAATAATGAATAAAATATTCTAATCTATTCTTAAAATTTTTAGCATCATTGAGATATATTTGATAATCACTATCTGATATAGTTTCTTGGGTTAATGCTGAATAAAATGAATCTTGAGTGAATGGTTCCTCTTTATATAATTCTTCTTCGTAATTCTCCCACGTGATGAATTGATAAGGGAAAAAGGATTTAACACGTGTTTTATTATTTCCGAAATCTTGAGTGAATTGGTCTAATGTCCCACCCGCTATATAATTTCTGATGTCAATAAATCTCAATTCATATGGAACGTTTGTTTTCTTTACAATGATTTGCTTAAATTGTGAAGATGAACCCAGTATTGATTTTATTTTCCATTTTGCAGTGTTTAAATCACGAAGAATTAAATTTAAATCAAACTTTCCCGAATTAAAACCTATGATATTCACTTTATTGAATTCCTCATCTAGAAGTTCTTTAAATGCTTCCTTCTGTTTTTCATTTAATGTATGGGACTTCATTAATTCTTCATATTGTTCAATATTTGATTCAACAACTAATGAACAGGTTGAAAATAAAAACTCAATCCAATCAGAAATAAAAGAATCACTCGAAGTTAAGCAAAAATTCCTCGTATACGTTTTATCATTTAATTTAACCGTTGATGATACCATGAATGGTTTTAAGTAAGCGTTCAAAGTTGCACACTCAGAAAGTTGTAATTCTTCTTTAGTCTCTAATGTTTCGAAGTCAAAAGTAATATAATATCTTGTCGGTTGATAATATTCCTGCAAATTATGAGCTAATAACCACTGATATATCTTCTGTTTCGTAATATGTGGTGCATATGGTTGCTGTGTCTTTTGCAATTGAACGTCTTGAATTAATCTTCCATTATTTTCTTTACATTTCTCGCAATGCTTTAAAAATCTTCTTTGGTATTTCCTTTCTGGATCATCACGGATAGAATAAACTTCTTCTTTACAATATGGACAAACTCTATAGCCGGTGAGTGCTTCAACGTCTGTTATTCTGTCAGCGTGAAGTTTTCCACATGGACTCTGTGTTAATAAAATATTTATTGTTTCAAATTCTGGATCTATCATTATTGAATCCACTAATGGAAAGTCTACCTTATTTATGTCCACGTCTTCTGGTTGAGGATCACAATAATAGAAATCAATATTAACATTTAACATTCTCGCTAATCTCTCACTTTCTGATGAAATGTCAAACCCTTCATATGCATCTATTGCTTCATTTAAATAGCTTCTACGAGTTTTAGGATTAACACCATCAGGAATGTTATAGAAGCGTTTAAATAACCTTCTACCTTCTGCTCTAATTTGATTATCATTCATTTTAGCGGTTCCGTTTTTGTTCATTTATTTCAGAAAAAAAAATTAAAAAATAAATAAAAATAAAGTTTATTTTTTAAAGCCCATAAAATGAATTAAGAACACATAAATTTTTATCATCTGCGACGTGACGAATACATTTTAATTTACTCAAGAATGCGTACCCTGATACATTAAATCTAATTCCTGTCTTATTTAATTTCACAACTTTGAAAAGGAATGTATGAATAGCTATAAAATGATGAGAAGATGTTTTATGGGTTGCTTCCATTTTTTCTGAAATAAATGAATAAATATAATGCTTATACATTTTCATATCTTTTATATTCTTAATAACGAATGGTATAGACCTTTCCACTTCATCTTCCTTCGGTGCTGTTCTTTCATATGAAACATTATTGGTATCTTCAATAATGAAACCACAATCACACAAAATTTTATAGGTTCCAATGGTTTCTTTTGATATTTTATCTAATAAATCAAAAACTTTATCAACACCTGTGCATTTATTTAAATAATAATTTGTGTAAATATCATGATCTTCTTTCTTAATCGTATTAGTTGCATATGTCACGTTTTTAAGAGCTTTTTTGAATTTCTCAGAATCGAGAGGGGGTGAAAGTAAGATACAAGGGTATTTTTCATTATCAATAAATTGTAACTTATGTTTACGAATAAATTTAGTACCTTCTTCTGAAAGTGTTTCATCTATTTCACCATCTAATAAATTTTGTGTTGATTCTGAGACATAATTTTTATATCTTTCTTCATGAGATTTCTGAACTGCTGATTCTGAAGCTGGGATATTCATTAAACCCTCTACTTCATTTTCATTATATTTTTCAACTTCTCTTAATTCCTTAATTTTTTCATCTATTTCATCTCTTATTTTTTCAGTCTTTCAATTTCATCATATTCATCATCTTTAATTCGTTCTTCATAATATTCAGGGAAAACATCAGGTTCTTTAGTTTTTCCCTTTTTAGATGTGGGATATAAGAAATTTATAACATCATCTTTATTCATTTTTCCATCATAATCAAACTCATTTAAAACAATTTCTAAAATAATATTTATCAACCTCATAACCCGCCTCCTCTAATATTGTCCATAAAAAATCTTCTTTTTGTCAAAAAAAAATAAGATCTGTCAAATATTGAAGTTCATTCTTCTGCTGAAATTTTCAATGCAGAAGATGATTTTTTTTGTTCAGTAAATGATGTCATATAAGCAGTTTGAACTAAACGATTGGTATCTTCATTATCAAAATAGTTTCTTTTGAATATAATCAATAATCAGATTCTCAAATTAACTTAACCGGAATAAGAAAATATTGGAAAAAAATTGTCACAAAATGTAAGGTCACAAAAAGTATATATCGATGTTCTCAATTTTCCTCTCAAATGGCGGTTTTTTAAAAACGTTCAATTTTTCATCGATCTTATTAAATTCTTGATATTAGATTTATTTCTGAAGTAGCAGCATTCAAAATTTGGTTTAAAACTACACTCACTGCCATCTGACTTTAATTCAAATCTCTGGCAATGGTCATGAAGTAACATTGAAAATTAACCTTAAATGAAAGAATTGAATGCAATGTTATCATGGCATAAGAAGATACAATTTTCATTATTTATGGAACAAACTTTATCTGTGGTGCAACAATTATTTAAAATTGAATTTGGGTATTTTTTTGAGCATCATTCCGCTCTCGTTTTCCCTCCTGTTTGCATAATAAGTAGTCAATTTTCATCTTATTTTGACATTTCCATCGCGCTTTATTTCAAATATTGAAATTAGCATTTAGCACATCAATTGGATTTTGTAGATTTTTTTTCATCTATTTGCGCAGTCCGGTGATGATTTTGTCAAAAAATGGTGTGTCCAGGCGGCATCGGAATTGATCGGGAAATCGGGATAAAAGTATTCAATTTTATCCCGATAAATCGGGATGAAAGTACTCAATTTTTAATCGGGACGGAATCACTACACATTTGATAGAAACATTATTTAAAAATCGTTTGAATATATAATATGCAACTACAGAAGATATAGGAGAATGTGGTGTATGTTTCATCGGATTTAATTTCATTGGACTTTCAATCCCGATGCCAAAAGATAAGTCCATTGCTAGAGACTATACTACAAGTTGGACAATTTTAATTATAAATTAAAATAATAATTTGCATTCGCATTACACATCCTAAGTCCAAATCAAACTTGACCGATATGTAATGATAGCTAATAATATATACTTCAATGCTATATAAATGAATACCCTTAGAAACAAATATAAAGAAAGATATGAATTTTTTAAATTTTCACTTCACCTAAAATCATTCCGATCCGAAAGTTTGCAAAACGAAAGATTAGAATTCGTTATCAAAACAATTTTAGATAGAAAAGAAGAATATTTAGAATACGTACCAAAAGAACTAATTGAAAGATTAAAAATTACAGCAATGAAGATGAAATAAGCAAATTATAATGATATAATTTTTTAATATGAATAAATATTTGAGTGGAAATGAATCATATAAAGAATTTGACTATTTCAATATCATAAACACATTTCTATTGTTATAAAAGTCTTAAGTGCTTGTGATCAGACAAATCTGTTTTTCAATAAGACATCTTAGAAAAAAAATTTAATTTGACTATTTCAATATCATAAACACATTTCTATTGTTATAAAAGTCTTAAGTGCTTGTGATCAGACAAATCTGTTTTTCAATAAGACATCTTAGAAAAAAATTTTAATTTGACTATTTCAATATCATAAACACATTTCTATTGTTATAAAAGTCTTAAGTGCTTGTGATCAGACAAATCTGTTTTTCATAAGACATCTTAGAAAAAAAATTTAATTTGACTATTTCAATATCATAAACACATTTCTATTGTTTAAAAGTCTTAAGTGCTTGTGATCAGACAAATCTGTTTTTCAATAAGACATCTTAGAAAAAAAATTAATTTGACTATTTCAATATCATAAACACATTTCTATTGTTATAAAAGTCTTAAGTGCTTGTGATCAGACAAATCTGTTTTTCAATAAGACATCTTAGAAAAAAAATTTAATTTGACTATTTCAATATCATAAACACATTTCTATTGTTATAAAAGTCTTAAGTGCTTGTGATCAGACAAATCTGTTTTTCAATAAGACATCTTAGAAAAAAAATTTTTAATTTGACTATTTCAATATCATAAAACATTTCTATTGTTATAAAAGTCTTAAGTGCTTGTGATCAGACAAATCTGTTTTTCAATAAGACATCTTTTAAAAAAAAATTTTAATTTGACTATTTCAATATCATAAACACATTTCTATTGTTATAAAAGTCTTAAGTGCTTGTGATCAGACAAATCTGTTTTTCAATAAGACATCTTAAAAAAAATTTTAATTTGACTATTTCAATATCATAAACACATTTCTATTGTTATAAAAGTCTTAAGTGCTTGTGATCAGACAAATCTGTTTTTCAATAAGACATCTTAGAAAAAAAATTTAATTTGACTATTTCAATATCATAAACACATTTCTGTTGTTATAAAATTAAGTGCTTGTGATCAGACAAATCTGTTTTTCAATAAGACATCTTAGAAAAAAAATTTTAATTTGACTATTTCAATATCATAAACACATTTCTATTGTTATAAAAGTCTTAAGTGCTTGTGATCAGACAAATCTGTTTTTCAATAAGACATCTTAGAAAAAAAATTTAATTTGACTATTTCAATATCATAAACACATTTCTATTGTTATAAAAGTCTTAAGTGCTTGTGATCAGACAAATCTGTTTTTCATTAAGACATCTTAGAAAAAAATTTTAATTTGACTATTTCAATATCATAAACACATTTCTATTGTTATAAAAGTCTTAAGTGCTTGTGATCAGACAAATCTGTTTTTCAATAAGACATCTTAGAAAAAAAATTTTAATTTGACTATTTCAATATCATAAACACATTTCTATTGTTATAAAAGTCTTAAGTGCTTGTGATCAGACAAATCTGTTTTTCATTAAGACATCTTAGAAAAAAAATTTAATTTGACTATTTCAATATCATAAACACATTTCTATTGTTATAAAAGTCTTAAGTGCTTGTGATCAGACAAATCTGTTTTTCAATAAGACATCTTAGAAAAAAAATTTAATTTGACTATTTCAATATCATAAACACATTTCTATTGTTATAAAAGTCTTAAGTGCTTGTGATCAGACAAATCTGTTTTTCAATAAGACATCTTAGAAAAAAAAATTGTAATTTGACTATTTCAATATCATAAACACATTTCTATTGTTATAAAAGTCTTAAGTGCTTGTGATCAGACAAATCTGTTTTTCAATAAGACATCTTAGAAAAAAAAATTTTAATTTGACTATTTCAATATCATAAACACATTTCTATTGTTATAAAAGTCTTAAGTGCTTGTGATCAGACAAATCTGTTTTTCATTAAGACATCTTAGAAAAAAAAATTAATTTGACTATTTCAATATCATAAACACATTTCTATTGTTATAAAAGTCTTAAGTGCTTGTGATCAGACAAATCTGTTTTTCAATAAGACATCTTAGAAAAAAAATTGTAATTTGACTATTTCAATATCATAAACACATTTCTATTGTTATAAAAGTCTTAAGTGCTTGTGATCAGACAAATCTGTTTTTCATTAAGACATCTTAGAAAAAAAATTGTAATTTGACTATTTCAATATCATAAACACATTTCTATTGTTATAAAAGTCTTAAGTGCTTGTGATCAGACAAATCTGTTTTTCATTAAGACATCTTAGAAAAAAAATTTAATTTGACTATTTCAATATCATAAACACATTTCTATTGTTATAAAAGTCTTAAGTGCTTGTGATCAGACAAATCTGTTTTTCAATAAGACATCTTAGAAAAAAAATTTAATTTGACTATTTCAATATCATAAACACATTTCTATTGTTATAAAAGTCTTAAGTGCTTGTGATCAGACAAATCTGTTTTTCAATAAGACATCTTAGAAAAAAAAATTTAATTTGACTATTTCAATATCATAAACACATTTCTATTGTTATAAAAGTCTTAAGTGCTTGTGATCAGACAAATCTGTTTTTCAATAAGACATCTTAGAAAAAAAATTTAATTTGACTATTTCAATATCATAAACACATTTCTATTGTTATAAAAGTCTTAAGTGCTTGTGATCAGACAAATCTGTTTTTCAATAAGACATCTTAGAAAAAAAAATTTAATTTGACTATTTCAATATCATAAACACATTTCTATTGTTATAAAAGTCTTAAGTGCTTGTGATCAGACAAATCTGTTTTTCAATAAGACATCTTAGAAAAAAAATTTAATTTGACTATTTCAATATCATAAACACATTTCTATTGTTATAAAAGTCTTAAGTGCTTGTGATCAGACAAATCTGTTTTTCAATAAGACATCTTAGAAAAAAAATTGTAATTTGACTATTTCAATATCATAAACACATTTCTATTGTTATAAAAGTCTTAAGTGCTTGTGATCAGACAAATCTGTTTTTCAATAAGACATCTTAGAAAAAAAATTTAATTTGACTATTTCAATATCATAAACACATTTCTATTGTTATAAAAGTCTTAAGTGCTTGTGATCAGACAAATCTGTTTTTCAATAAGACATCTTAGAAAAAAAATTTAATTTGACTATTTCAATATCATAAACACATTTCTATTGTTATAAAAGTCTTAAGTGCTTGTGATCAGACAAATCTGTTTTTCAATAAGACATCTTAGAAAAAAAATTTAATTTGACTATTTCAATATCAT